GCCCACACACATGTGGCAGATGGTCCTTGGACACGTAGAGGGACCCCCTCTTTCACCATGATGGGAAGGGAGGAGAAAAAATGAACCGGAATGCAGAAAAGGTGACAGGAGGATGGGTAGAAAGTTGAGGACGTTGTTTCTTGGGGCCTTTGTTGTATTTGTGAAGGAGGAAGTGACATGGTTTTTAGAAGAGTGAACAGGGGTTGAAACAGTCATGGTGAAGAATGTGAGGGGACCTGACCACTAGAAGAATCTAGGCCACATGGAGGACCCACTGAGGTTGAAGGTTGTGAGTGTGTGAGGTTGCCTACCCATGCCCCGTATCCATAAAGGATTTTCTTTCACAGTGTTTCCACATCCTGAAGTGGGAACAGCAATGGTAAACATCTGTAGAGTGGGTTGTCAAAGAGAGGAGTGCTCCGCGTGAGCTCTCAGAGGTGGAGTGTTCTAGAAGGTGATAAGATGATGGCTCAGGCCACAGGAGTGAAGATGGAGAGGGAAGAAAGTCACTGGAGTTGAAGTTGAGGAAATAGGAGGTGAAATTTTTGGCTGGTCATCCACAGGTTGTCTTACTTTCCTCAGGACGGATACAAGACTTAACAAGCCGCTAATGTATTCAAGAAGTGTGGTGATGATCAGAAGGAAAGCAGATGATGGCAACTAGGAGAGACTGGAGGCGAGATTTTTACACAGCTCTTAAGGGTTTGTGATATGAAGGTTTCCCAATAGCCTGTTCGGGTGAAACAAGTCACTGTTCCTCTCAGGGGTCCTGGAGGACCTCCCCATTCTCCCAAGTGTGTGTGTGTGTATGTGCACGCACGCGCACATACACACACACACACACACACACACACACACACACCTTGCTCCAACAAGAATGGGTCCTCTTCTCTGTTTTAAGTACTAACATTCCCCATAAGACATTTTAGAAAGGTTTTTGTGAGCAAAAAAGCTAAATATCACTGATGAGGCCCAACCCTTCCTAACCCAACAATGAGCCCAAGACCATCTAGTGAGTTGATGGAGGTTCCCACCGCTGAATCCCACTACGGTAGCGTATGGTGTGCACTCTCCCCTAAGATGCCCCCATGGCTACTGCTCATTGATGATGCACCCTTGTTAGGGCTGATGAGTTGAGTGCTGTTGAGGTCCAGCAGAGCCTGGAACCCAGGGGAGGGAGGAACAGTGGCCATAGTGGGGCCATGAAATTCCTGGACACCTTGGGACAGGGTGGAGAGGATGAAGAAGGGAAATGAGGATGGGCAGACTGGGGGAGGGCAGATTCTGGTCAATTCCAGCCCAGCTAGGGAGGCCAGCTTAGTAAGCAGGCAATAAAGGTTGAGTTCCTTCTGCCTCTCCTATGCAGGACCTTAAATCATGGAGGAGTTTATGGGTCTTGTTTATGTAGAGACTCTTTTTATAAGCTATTCAGAACAGGGGTGGGAGGGAGACATAGGGAGAGAAAAATTCCCTTTGAATTTCCATTGCTTTCAGAATCAGCAATTTAATGAGTCATGCATTCTGAATCCTTGCTTTGTCTACACGTTTTCATCTCAAAATACTAAAAAACACTTTGTTTGGAACATGGACTATTTTTAGTTCATATATCAAGAGTCCACATCCATTTCTCCCCATATTAGAAAAACTTCCTTCAGATTGGGTTGGGGCAGCACCAAAGCGGTAGGGCTGTTTACTTAGCTGTAGTTTGCGGAAGCCACCTGGGCATCTCTCTGTTTCCTGGGGGCTCCTTCCAGCTGGCCATCTGGGCCTACTGACGATCCATGGGTCAGCTCTAGAACTGGCCCAAAGACCCCAGATCCCATAGTCTGGATAAAAGGGGAAAAAACATCCCTTCAGACCTCCAGGCTGAGGAATCAGCACCTTGGCAGGCTAGAGGCAAGTCAGGTCTTCATGCTGACTCAAAGAAGTGAAGGAGGTCCCCATGGATAGGTCATCTCCTTCAGGTACATCAAGAGAAAGCCTACCCACACTTAAGCAAAGACAGGAATAGATTCTTCTGCAGGATTCTTCTGTAAATCTCAGGAGGAGATCTGGGAGGAAGGCTGGAGGTACCAAAGGGTACCCTACTTCTCCAGTCCCTGCCCTCTGCATAGGGTCTCTCTCCACCCTGCACTTAGAGAGCGCCCCCAGCCAGTTTTATCTACCTCACTGTTTTTGTTCCATCAGTGATAATTCTCTCGTCTGGGGACCACTTTCTTTTAAACCCTCCAGCTTAGAGCATTAATTGCAAGTACCTTTCCAGCACTTAATGGACAGCCAGCCAACTTCAAGAATGGGTTACAAAATCCAATATCTCAAGGAAGTAGGGTGATGAGGTACCCACTTCTCTGGCCATTGTCTTCCTCTCCCATCTGTGTATTTATAGTGGAAGAAACCGTGCCCGTGCCCTCTGACTCTCTTTCCCTGGACCCTGTTGATTTGATCTCGAATGGACAACAATGAGCCTATTCCCAGGGAATTTGAAATTGAAACCATGCTGATTCTCAGCTGAGGCTAGTTGCCAAATTGGCAGCTATCTGACATGGAGAATTTTCACGTGGACAGAGAAACTGAGGAGATATAGATAGGCAGAGAGAAGTCGTTTTCTTGGGGTTTCTGTGTCCCCCTAGGCCCTCATTCCAGCCACCTCCTAGGCCTTGGATTCCACGAGGCAACCCCCATGTCCCTAACCCCTGCCTAAAGTCTTCCAAATATATTTCCCTTTCCATCTAGGAGAGCTCTACCTGACTGCTGTTACTTGCAACCAAAATGGTACCAGGAAGGGGGAGAATGACCTGGGGCAGGAAGATGGGACACATCAAGGAGAGGCCTCCCTACTTTGTAATTTTTTCTTCTCTGCCCGCACCAGGCATAACCACGTGGGCCACCACACAGCCTGCTTCAGGGGCTGAGGAGGCCTCTGATGCTCTGTAGGCTAGCCCTAACATTGTCCCGTCTGAAGGAGTTTCCAACCAAGGAACAAAGGACCGGGACACAATGTGCTCCGCGAGACAACGTTGCTGGGGACTGTTGTGAGGACATGTTTCCGGTGGGCCGCATTCCTGTCCCCTCCATGCCCAACCCTTGTGTTGAGACCCAGACCATCAAACCCCCCTCCCATGGCCCCACCTCATCCTTCTTTTTAGCCGTCTTGCTCTGTCTACTGCATAAGGAAATCTTTGAGAAATGTGTGAGTGTGTCCCCAAGGAAGGAGTAAGTAAATATGGGTTTGTGGTGATGTGAATGCATGATAGGAATAATCCAGGAGTCATAGAGACCCTCGGCGTGGGGCCCACAAAGAATTAATGCCAACCCCCCAGGAGAAGCCGATGGTGTGGGAGAAGCAGATTCTTTCCACCTGGGCCACTGCTGCCCTTGGAGACGGGCGAGACTAATCTGTCCAATTCATGCCCATCACAGCTCTGGCCCCAAATCCTAAATCCCAAAGCCACAGGAGCAAATGAGGAAATATTTTTTATTGTGGGAATATGTTGAGCAAAATGGTCTTTCTGAGTCCATCAGACATCTTTGCTGCTTCCTGTACGATATCGTCATAGCCAGTAGGGTAGATGACTATCCTTTCCACATTTGCCATTTGCCACAACCCCCACAGGACATGCAGAAGAGTTTCTCTGCCCCAGTCCTGACCTCCCTCCCTCAACATGTCCCCTACTTTCCCAGGGCAAGGACCCAGGATTCGATCACTTATCCTAGGCTGAGGAAAGGCCGACCAGGAAATTCACCCTTGGAATGGACCATTCTTCCTCTTGGGGCTCCTCTCCTGGAAGCGGTGAGCTGGAATGGGGAGGCCCAGCCCAGGTCTATCCTCCCACCCTAGCCAACCCTCCTGATCAGAGACTTGCTCCAAGCCTGCCCTTCAGCACACCATGCCCTTGGCCACGGGTCTCATCAGCCCCCAGCTTTCATTTCCCGAACAGTAAGTTGTGTTGGAGAAGATTCTGGATTGAACCTGCAGTCTCGTCCCCAGCCCCTGGGAGAAATCACTAAAAAGCAGGAGCTGTAGTCACCAGATATATTCCCACTTCCATTTTTTCCTCCTGCAGCCCAAACCATAATCTCACGGCCCCCACCATAAACACTTTCGGTCCCTCCTGGCAACCGGTGGCAGAGACGGCTGGAGGGCCCATTCCCAGTAGCCCGAGGGAGACCATTCCAGAACATATCCGATTCTATGACTCACCACAGACCAACTCCTTGATCACGTAGATCAAAATTTCCCTCTGTACAAAAAGCCTCCCGGAGTTGAAATTCCTCTTGACTTTTTACAGCCTTGAACGTCTCCAAGGGCAAGAAAGAGAACAGGACTGAACCCCTGCGGCTCGGGGAGCACAAAACCCCTCCCCCTCAACCGACCTCCTCACCTGTAAGAGGGGAGAGGCAGGCAGGCCAGTGGTTACGAATGTAAGTTTCGGATTCAGAGAGATTTGGGCAGGAATCCTGGGTTTCCCTTTGCCTGGGCCATCTGGAGAAAGTTGTCGAATATCTTACTTTTCTCCCGTAAAAATGGGGTTAATGACACATCCTCCGGGGTTATTGTGAGGGTTCATTGCCAAGACTGGGAGACTGCGAGATTATCTTTGCCAAGCTCCTGCTCCCATGCCGCCACGGGGTACGCACTCTATAAATGATATCTGTCCTTCCTAACAAGCACCCCCTAACCTAATCAGCTCCTGACAGGGTCAGTTTGCAAACCCATCCCCTTGCTCTGTCCACACGTCTCAGATAACAGCCCGTGGAAACCTGTCAGGCTCAAGATGTGCGGTAAAACCTCTGTACCCAGCTGGAACGCGCATCCTCTCAGGACCCCTCCCAGGCGTCCTGTCCTCGCCCCCACCCACAGGACACTCAGACGCTCAGCAGCAAAGGCTCCCAGCCCCCGCCCCCGCACCACCCCCTACCTGAGGGCTGAAAACAATCAAGTCCTGAGCAAACACTCGAGAGAGCGCTTTCTCCGGGGGGTTTGGGGGGAGAAGACTTGCCAAGTGGGGAAGTCGGGGGCCTGGCTCCTCGGCGGCTCCTCTCCCCCTCCGGGGGCTCCTCTGCCCCCCTTTTCCTCATTCTCAGGCTTCCCCTCTCCAGGTTGCTCGGGCAGCCGCATCGGAGGTCCAGGGCGATGTTCTCAGGGAGATTTGCGAGCACATCAAGGGAACGTCAGCGGAGACACACGGTCTGCAAGAAGTTGACAGAAACTTACTGCCCGCACGGTGCTGCTCGGTTATTTACTCAACGTCGGTTGCCTAAATTATTTACACCCTCCCTTCCGTGTTTAAACAGGACAATGCACAACCCGCACAATCATGGCACTAAGAAGTATAATTACAGTTGTGACAGATGTTTAGTTATTAATAAGGCCTCAATGTCACCAGAGGGTATTACACAACAAACCAATAATGTGCCTTTGGAAGCAACCTTTGGAATATTTACAGGTACTTTTCCGCTCGCACTCCCGGGGGCTCTGCTGTAGTATTCTGCTACAGCGGCCAACGTGATTGCAACTTGCAAGAAAGCCCGGCGCCTTGCCAGCATAATTTGTTGCCTGGCTGTTGACATCAGCAGAGCCACGGAATCAGAGTGGGGGCCAGAGTTAGAAATAGCCGTCTTCGGGAGGGGACTCTTGCCAAGCCTCCCGGCGTGTGACGCTGCTGGCGATCCCAGGGCAATGTCGTCCTGTCTTCTGTAGACAAACCTAACAGCGTCCAAGACTAGTTTCCTTCACCAGCTTCCATCAGGCTTGTTTCCCACGTGTACTGAGCGGCTGGGTTCCCTTTACGTCACCATCTCTCCTTTTCTCTCCCACACCTGGTTAACCCCTTCCCGTCCTTTGTGACGGGGCTCAGGTTAAGACCCCCCTCGTCTGGGCCCACTTCTGCTGTTGCCCACAGTCTCCCCCCCTCTTTCCCGGCAGCACTGTGTTGAGCAAAGCTCCAGGCAGGGAGTAATTCACATGCACACCGTGTCATGGGGGCCTGGGGGGGGGGGGGGAACAACCTTAAAATAATTGGTTGTGCAATAAACGCTTATTGAACTAACACTTGATCAATATTGGTTCTCTTTGGTTCCATACTGAAGTTAAAAGGAAAGGAAAATAAAACAGAGTCTCAAGAGGTGCGAAGCACAGAGAGTTCAGCTGGAAGGATCTTGGTGGTGAAACAAAACAAGCCCTGGTCACCCTACACCGAGTCCTCGTCTAAGAGAGCTGGCCCCGGGGTGGCGGGGGGGTGTCTGCACTTTGCAGCTGGCAGTGGCCTCTCCCGGCAACAGGCAAATGGGTCTCCAGCCCTCACTCTGGGTCCCTGCCCATCACCTCCTGGGAAAAGGCTCCCAGATCTACTTCTAGCCTTCTCGTTCTGATGAGAGGTCTATTTCTATGTCTGGGAAGCATTCCCCCTGCAGAAGTCAGCTCATAGGGGATAGGCTCAGAAAATGCCTTTAGGAAACACAAAGGCTTGGGGCGCCTGGGTGGCTCAGTCGGGTAAGTATCTAACTTTGGCTCAGGTTACGATCTCGCGATTCGTGAGTTCGAGCCCTGCGTTGGGCTCTGTGCTGACAGCTCAGAGCCTGGAGCCTGCTTCGGATTCTGTCTCTCTGTCTCCCTCTCTCTTTCTCTGTCCCTCCCCCACTCACACTTTGCCTCTCTCTCTCAAAAATAAATAAACATTAGAAAAATTTTAGGAAACCTAAAGCCTTGAAGAGGTGTGTGTGCATGTTATCAGTGTTGTAAACTCTGGTTGTGACTGAATGCGTGGTAGGCGCTGAATGTCAGCCCCATCCCAGCCCAAATGAGACAGGCTCAGCCATAGGTAAGACACATCCATGCAAGCCTACTTATCTCCAGGGTTGCACACACACACACACACGCTCACAGACAGGTCTTCAAACATTCACAGCCTATGTGTGATCTCACACTCACATCCAGCCCCTGCCCTTGGACACACAGCCACACAGCTGCACACACTGTCCCCGTCAACACGAGCACCCACAGGAACCCTCACACATGTAGGCACACAACCCATACCCGCATGCACTATGGCACCTGCTGACCCACACGTGCTGTGCACACATCTGTACTCTTGTCATCATCTCTAGTTACCACGTTAAGTTAAAAAGGAAAAACAAGTGTCCTGTGTCATTACGGTAGAAATACAAAACAAAACAAAACAAAACAAAACAGTGTCATTTTATTTTCAGATAGGCTTTTAGTTGCCATGACAGGCTTCGCACCATGAAAGTTGTGATTGGTGGCAAACACAGATTTCAAAAGAGAGTAATTAGCTCCCCATATACAAGAACTTCCGAATATGCTGAGTCCCCTCCCTCATCAGTCCCCTCCACGCAGAGTGGACACCAGGGCAGGGGCACCCCCCCCCCTCAGTGCTAGCCTGGCCGCCAAGGCAGCACTAGGACCTGCCAAGAGCTCTCAGCGAAGGATGTCCAAGCTGATGGTCACAAGGGCATTAGAACCCAATCCACTTAATTACTTGGAACTTGCTCCTAGCTCAACAGAAGCAAGGCCCTCGGGGTGCAGCTTCCCCATAAGGAACAATTACACCTGCTCAGCTGGCCTCTGCTGCCCTTCACTGCAGCACTCGTGATGTGTCAGAGAAACACAAAGCTGGGGGCTGGTCTCTTGGCCAAAAGGGGACTTGGCTCTTCCAGCTGGAAGCTATCTCCCCAGAATGCTCCTCCCCAGGTCAAGGCTGGCCTGTCACACAATGGGGGATACCAAAGGAGCCCTTCATAGGCTGGGGCTGACGGCCCAGGGTCAACTAAGTCGGCATCTGGATAGAAGATGGACGTGCATCCTGCCATTTCTCTAGGAGCTTCTCGAAGACAAGAGCCATGGTGCACACACCTGCCAAGTCCCTGGTGGCCCTTATGCACCTTGAGACCCATAGTAAATACCTGCTGAACATAACTCTTTGTCCCCAGATTAACTACTTATCTCTTTTCCTCATGAGAATCCTAAGGGCAATTAACTTCTAGAATTTCTCCTTCATGCCCCTTTGCCACTTGTCTTTGTTACCATCTGAAAGGTCAGCCAGGAGCTGGTTTCTGAGCCCACGTTTTGAAGTTAGAGCTTTGGGCTAATTCCTGGACCCACAGCGGTGTCCTTCCTCTTCAGCTTTTCATTTCAACACATGACCCAATCACTTCCTTTTATATCTAGAATGTTCCTGGAGCACTGCCCATCCACTGTGAGGCACTCAGGGCCACTCAAGGTGTCCCATCTACTCCATCTCTCTTACCAACGCATAATATGCAGAGACTGGGGGTGGTGAGGAGTTTGAGAACACGGATAATTGAATCAGGCCATGCAGGTCACATCCTGACTTTGCCGGTTACGGGCTGTGTGACTTTGGAGAAGTAACTTAACTTCTCTGTGCTTCAGTTCCCCCATCTGCAAAATGGGTCTCATAATAATGGCACCTACTTTTTAGGATTATTGTAAAGCGCTTGGCACAGAGTAAGTGCTACATATGCTAGATATCATTATTAATTCCTTTCTTTTGCACCTAACAGGCTGAACACCCACTCTGTTCAGATGGGTGTTGGGCTGAACCTATAGGAGGGTAGGGACAGACACAGCCCCGAAGAACCCAGAATCAAGATGGCAACACAGACACAAAGCATAGACCAAAGAAGGGGTTGCTCTTGCTTCTTCAGTTCAATGAGTCAGTTTGTCGTAAAGAGTATCCAAGAGGAGGGGTGCCTGGGTGGCTCCATCGGTGAGCGTCTGACTTCGGCTCAGGTCATGATCTCACGGTCCACGAGTTCGAGCCCCGCGTCAGGCTCTGTGCTGACAGCCCGGAGCCTGCTTCGGATTCTGTGTCTCCCTCTCTCTCTGCTCCTCCCCCACTCAGACTCTGTCTCTCTCTCAAAAATAAATAAACATTAAAAAAAAAAAAAAGTATCCAAGAGGGGAGGTTCTAGTTCTTCCCTTCAGTCCCACCATTTAAGAGCACAATGGATCCCTGTGCCTGCCTCTGCAGAGGGGAGAAGTAGGGATGCAGTCTCCATGAATCGGTCAACCTCATCATTCCAGCATCCATGTCTCTGAGCATCCCGTTGGGTACACGGGTCACCGGCAAACTCAGTCCTTGGTAGACTGTCGTCCCTTTTGGAGTGTCTGAAATTGCAATCACTGTGGGAGTGAGGTATGGCTGAAAATCTAATGGTTATGATTGGAGGGCACCAGCTTGCATTTTTTGGCATAAATAATTCACAAATACGGGGTGGATGCACCCCAAGTACTGCCCAGACTGATTATTCAGACTAAGACCCACGTCGAATGTTTGCCAAGAATGCTCCCCCCATTCTGACCACATTGGGTAGTCTTTTGTATCTTGTAGCCCCTGCTACATTTTACAGTTGTTGATAGACACATTATAAGCACAACTGTATCCTCTGTAATGCTCAACAAGGGTTTTGCAGGTGGATCTTTTCTCTCAAAGTCCTCCGCCTGTGTCATCAGATTGATCCACAAATAAAATTTATTCTTGTTATAATGGAATGTAATTCTAATTAACACTTTGTTCATCACTTCTTTCACTTACTACTTTTTAGCATAGTTCAAGTTTATTTTTAGCATATTTCCCGTACTGCACATTATTGTTATTTATAGTCATCTTGCTGGACTTCAGGTCTCTAGAACATATTCATCTTGTAACTAAAATTTTGTAACCTCTGACCAACATCTCCCTTCCCCTCCCCCACCCTCTACCCCCTGGAAATCACCATTCTGTTATCTGTTACTTCTTTTTTTAGATTCTGTATATAAGGGAGGTCATGCATTATTTGTCATTCTGTATCTGGCTTATTTCACTTAGCATAATATCCTCCAATTTCATCCATGTTGTAGCAAATGGCAGGATTTCCTTCATTTTTTTTGACTGATTAATATTCCAATGTGTGTGTGTGTGATATATATATGTATATATGTATATGTATATATATCACACACACACACACATTGGAATATTAATCAGTCAAAAAATGAAGGAAATCCTGCCATTTGCTGCAACATGGATGAAATTGGAGGATTATGCTAAGTGAAATAAGCCAAGTATGTGTATATCTGTATACACACACACACACACACACACACACACACATATATATACACCATACACACATATATATCATATGGATTATATATATATGCATATATA